GCCTAGGCCGCAGCTACATTTTCATCATTTTCGTGAGGAAGCCTCAGGTAATTCGAAGTGATCAAGATCCGGTTGTTTTGTTCCCCCCCGCTTTCCCTTGCAAAAAACACTATAAAATGACATTTCTTGTTCTAATATAATCAAATTTCAAGAATCCTTGGCAAAAAATAAGGTAAAGTGGACATTCGCGCGCGCAAGACGAAATCCTTCCAAAAGCTTAGTGTTCGGAGCGATTTTAACATAAAAACATCAAAAAACCAATGGTTTTTCAACAAAAAAATGTCAAAATCTCATCCCGCGCGCTCTTGCGGATTCGTAGGAAAACCAACACTTTTTAAACATTTCTGTCAAACGGGCTTTTGCGAGCAAATTTTTCGAACTTCTGCGACAACGGTTGCGCACCTGCCAGGGCCATCATCCCTGTCAAATAATACCATGCGGGACACATTCGTTTTTTCTTCGCGCGCGCACGCCGTCGTCGTCGGCCGCGGGGCCCTGAATAGTAGCCACGGTCGTCCGCATGCCACGAAGTGAAGTGTCCGAACGTCATAGGGCGGGAAGCTGGGTGTGGGTGGTGGCGAAGAGTCGTTTGGAAATTTGGTAGAGCTTGAACCGGCCCCCCCACAAAGTGGGGGTATTGCCCGCCTCCTATGAAAACCCTGGCACTGGTGAGAACGGAGTGTCCCCAGTCTTAAATGATTGTTGTTGTTGTTGTTGTTGTTGTTGTTGTTGTTGTTGTTTGTTCTCTCTCTCTCTCTCTCTTGACTAAAACCAAAAAAGAGTATGGGGACGATTATTTTTTAACTTGATTTTCGACCCTGCTTGAATCTTCTTCGACTCTCACGCATTGTTCCTCCAAAATCTGCCTGTAGGGGGCCACGCCCGACCTCATCGTCGTCATCGTGGTCGTCGTCGTCGTCGTCGCCGTCGTCGTGCTGTGCCTCCGCCTTCCCCCTCGTCGTCGCTTTGTGAGGTCCCGCGGGGGCTCCCGGGCCTCCTGGCAGGCTTCGGGGGTCCCGCGGGGGAGGGCTCACGGGGGTCGCGGGGCACGCAGGCGCCCGCGGCCATGAACGCCGGCATCCTTCTGGCCCTCGTGGCGGCCCTGGCCACGGCCGCCATCTCCGGGTGGGTGCTGCACGGCATCCGAAGTCGACATCGACTACACGTGAGAGTGTCCATGATCTTCAGGACGTGTGTTAGCCCAATGTGTGTTTACCCCGTTCGGCCCAACCAGTCGATCATCACATCGCCTTCGTCGTATTGAAAGGCCTCAGTGGGCAAACACACGTTGGCGCTAACACACGTTCTTCGAAGAAGAACAAACGCCATAAACATAAACTTTTGTCGCTCCGCGCTGATTTTTTGTATCCGCGCTGGGCTCCCCTTGGCGGCGCCCCCGGCGCCGCCCCTGGCGCGCTCCGCGCGCCGGGGAGGGGGGCGCAGCGCGGATCCAAGAAATCCGCGCGGAGCGTCAAAACTTTCTGTTCGCGCTGTTTTTTTTCTCCTCGAACGTTGGCGTTAACACACGTTCTGGGGATCATCGAGAGTTGCCCTTCGCCGGAGTGGCGTTTGGGTGCGGGCTCAACGGGGCCCCCGATCGTCGACTGCGATGCGATAGCAGCGTCCTGCGCGCTGGGGCCTGGCCCCCTCGCGCCCCCCCCTGAGGCCGCGCACCAACGGTCACTCTTAACTCTTAAGTCGGGCACGTCTCTCTACAGGAGGACTATTCCAAAACAAATCAACAGATAGTCTCGGGACGTAGTATTTTCTGGCAATTTGCGAGTCTTTTATGTATTTTCGATTTTTTTGTTCGGCCCAAATCCGCCTGTCGGGGGACATGCCCGACCTAAACTCAGGGTCACTCTTACGTGCAGCCGAAGAAGGAATAACCGCCATAAACATAAACTTTTGGCGCTCCGCGCGGATTTCTGGGATCCGCGCTGCCCCCCCACCCCGGCGGCGCCTCCGGCGCCGCCCCAGGCGCGCTCCGCGCGCCGGGGAGGGGTACCCAGCGCAGATCCAAGAGATCCGTGCGGAGCGTCAAGAGTGTATGTTTATGCCGTTTTTCTTGTATCAGGCATGGTGTCGGCGCCTGTCTTCTGGATGTTGGTGGCGGCGGACCTCATCTGCTGCCCCATCGGCGTCTGGGCCCACCGCCGCTGCTGCAGGTGGCTGCTGCCAGAGCAGCCCAGGACCTGGGCCGGAGGCTTCGGCACCTCGGCGGCCTTCTCCATGCTGTGCTGCGGCTGCTGCCTGTTGGTGGAGTGGGTGGTCGTGAGAGAGGTTGATGGGCTTGTTTTCCACCACCACCATAAGTTGGATGGGGGGAGGAGGAGGAGGACGAGTAGGAGGAGAACGAAGAGGAGGAGGAGGAGGAGGAGGAGGAGGAGGAGGAGGAGGAGGAGGAGGAGGTGGAGGAGGAGGAGGACCCCCTCCCCCTCCAACTTATGGTGGTGGTGGTGGAAAACAGGCCCATCAGAGGTGCCCCCGAAGCACCTCGGGTCTGAGGCCGAGGCCATTCTGCAGGCATGGTTCGCCACCATCGGCGTCTGCACGGACACGGCGCTGCTACTCTTCCTCCTGTCTATGAGTCGCGACGGTGAGGCTGCCCCCTTCTGGCGACTCAACCGGAAGCTCCACATCAGCATAGCTCGGCTCTGGCAGCCCAAGCTCGAGCTGGTCGATGACTTCAAGGCCGTTGCAGGGGGCGCGACAGATTGTTCCATCTGCCTGGAGAACCTCGCTAGCCTCCCGGCAGAGAGGAGCTACCATCGAAGAAGAAGAACAAACGCCATAAACATAAACTTTTGGCGCTCCGCGCTGATTTTTTGTATCCGCGCTGGGCTCCCCTTGGCGGCGCCCCCGGCGCCGCCCCTGGCGCGCTCCGCGCGCCGGGGAGGGGGGCCCGGCGCGGGTCCGGAAGTCCACGCGGAGCGCCAACAGTTCATGTCTGCGGCGTTTTTTCTTTTTCTCTACCAGCCGCCGCGGCAGCGGTGCTGCCGAAGGGCCAACCTGACGGGCCGCGGGCTTCTGCGGCTGCCGTGCGGCCACGTGTATCCACAGCTGCGCCGCCGCGCGACGTCGACGCCGTGCCGGGGTGGGTGGGGCGTGGCGGAGCCTCGGGGCAGAGGGCCTTGTTTCTGTTGGAGGAGGAGGAGGAGGAGGAGGAGAAGGAGGAGGAGGAGGAGGAGGAGGAGGAGGAGGAGGAGGAAAAGGAGGAGGAGGAGGAGGAGGAGGGGTGGCACACTACGGAGCCTGGCGCCCAGGATGGCAACTCGTGAAGGTCCACGGCTTGGCGCAGAAATTGAGTCACGCTTCGTTGCGAGATGTCTGATGTATACATTGGTGTTTGATACCCCGCTCTCGTACACACCACACACTCACACACTTGTACTCGTGAGACATCAAGCGCCTCCATGCGCGATTCTCTTTTGTGTTTGCACGCACGCGCCAGACGCATGTTCGATGGCCGCCGTCCGCGTACTTGCTGCTTGCACTTCTGAAGAATCTGGCGGCCCACGTTCGACACCTTCCTTGGCGCCACACATGTGAAATCACATAGTACTCCAGAATTCGTGATAAAAGGGAGGGGGTCACAACCCTCCCAGACGAGAAGTTTTAGATCCCCCCAGACCATCCATGAAAGGGCGGCCCTTTGCCCAGACCCCCTCCGAAAACTCCAAGACAGCTCGAATCAGACCCACCCCCACATGTGACCCACCCCCCTTTGTTATGGAATCTGGAGTACATGTGCAGGCGCCAGACACATGTTCATATCCCATCCGCGTACGCATATTTTTGTGTGAAGAATCCGTCGACCTCTTCTAGGCACCTCTTCGTCTAGGATCGAATGCTCGACGGGCAAAGAGACTCTTGGTAAGCTAAGGGATTTTGTCCACGAAATCAAGACAGAAGACACCTGGAAGTTATCACCAAGAAGGCGACAAGCGCAGGGACTCGGTCAGTAAACATAGGCACATTGCTCGATGCGTGGGGGGCCTTAATCATTGCTCTTCGCAGGAAGCGACGTTTTCCGAAACGAAGCACGGTCCCGACACACAAACACACCAACAGCCGCAAGCGCGGTGGTGGATCATGGGCACTGTGTGGGGCGGTGGCTGGCGCGCGAGGTCAGCTGTCCGTGTTGCCGATCGAAGGTCGACAACTTGGCCAGGTGCACGTGCATCTGCCTGCGGCGCTCGCCTTCCAGGGAGCTGGCTGCCACCGCCTCGCCGCGCCGTGCGAAGCAGTGCAGTCTTGAGCTCCCCCCCGGGGTCGCTGCCAGTGGAGCCAGCAGCAGCCGCCCAGGCACCAGTGCCGAGCCACGGGCGCCAAGCCCGCCACCGCCGCGCCGCGAGGCGACGGCCCAGCCGCCGCGAGCGGCCGGCGACGGCCGCCGCGGCAGCCGCGGCAGCAGCAGCAGCAGCAGCAGCACCGGCAGCAGCAGCAGCGGCAGCAGCAGCAGCGGCGGCGGCAGCAGCAGCAGCAGCTCCCTCCCTCGCCAGCCGCCCCGCAGGGTGCCCGAGGCCTTCAGTCGGGCATGTCCCTCCACGGGAGGAATGCTCGCCAAAAAGCAAAACCATCGTCTGGGGACGAGGTTTCGACTACGTTTGGTTCTGCTTGGGCATTTTTGTGACTAATGACTCAGTTTCCCTCCAGAACCCGTCCGTAGGGGACATGCCCGACCGAGCCCAGGCGCCGTCGGCACTGGCCCTGGCCCCGTTGCCGCTGGCGCCCCTGCCGCGCGAGCCGCGCTTCCGGGCGTCGCCCCGCGAGCGGCCGGCGCCCCCGGGGAGCCCGGCGCCCCGCCGCGGCCCCGCGGCGCCAGCAGGACCCGCGCCGGCGCGCACGGCGCCGCTCCGCGCCGCGGCGTCCGCCCCGCGCCGCGGCGTCCGCCCCGCGCCACCGCGGTCGGCCGCCGCGGCTGGGCGTCGCCCCGCGGCGTGGCGGTCGCCCCGCGGCGTGGCGTCGCCCCGTGGCGCGCCCGGTCGCCCCGCGGCCTGGCGTCCCCGCGGCTCCTGTCCCCGCGCATCGAGTCTCCCCTCACCGTGTACCAGGCGCCCGCCGCCTGCGCAGGGCGGCCGCCTTCGCGTCCTCCGTCTCGGGCTCTCGCTTCGCCCCGCCTCCGCCTGAGCCTCCGCTTTCTCCTCCTCCTCCTCCCCCTCCTCCTCCTCCTCCTCCTCCCTCTCTCCCCTCTCCCCCTTCCTCACTATCCTCCTCCTCCTCCCTCCTCCTCCTCCTCCTCACTCCTCCTCCTCCCTCCTCACTCCCCCTCCCTCCTCCTCCTTCTCCTCCTCTCCCCATCCCCCTCCTCCTCCCCCTCCTCCTCCTCCTCCTCCTCCTCCTCCTCCTCCTCCTCTAGTTTTCTTTTCTTCTGCACCTCCTTGTCCCTTAACCCTCTTGCCCTCCCCTTCTTCTCTGCGGATAACGCGCGCGCGTTGTACGAGTGGGAGAACATAGCACGGCAATGGAACTTACAGTCAGGGGAGAAAGGGTAGTCCAGCGAGCAGGGATGACGGATTGTAGCATGGTGTTATCGTCTTGCTTGTGCATTCGCAGTGGGCTAGCATTGCGCATTTGCTGGCATATTGCATTCATGTTGCGATTGGGCACGGGCCCAGGCCCAGGCAAGGGCGCTGTGGGAGGTCACGCTCGGACCTCGACTTGGCCTTCCCCTCCCTCGGGTGGGCAAGGGCCTGCAGGCACAGGCAGGGCAAGGGCCCTCGGGTGAGGCGGCGTTTTCGGTGCATCCCTGCACCCTTGCAGCTTCCCGCTTTCCCTGGTCTGACTATACGACCCATAGCGCGACCAGCGCGGGAACGCCAGGAGGCGGAGGAATGATAGTGGGTGTTCCCTTCTCTCACTTCGATAATCCTCCCCTCCCCTGCCGTCCCATTCCTCGCCTCCCCTGGCAAGTGCAGCTTCCCTCCTACACTACCCTT